TATGTTGTGTTTGCTCTTCCCCTGTCTCTTTATGGTTATTCATGTCAGCTGTGCTTTACATGTGTTTTCACTTCCCTCATGATCCGTCTGTGTATTTATGTCCGCATCTCCCTCAGTTCCGTGTCCTCATAGCTTTGTGACTCTCCCTGTGTTTCCCTGTGTGAATGATTATTAGAATTCCCCAGTTTAGTTCTGTACGATTTTTCCTTTTTCCAGCAATAAATCCGTGTTTTTTGAGTTCACTTCCTGCTTCTGGGAGTCTGCTTTTGGGTCCTATTCCTGCCTGCACACAGCGAGTTCATGACACTGAGGCCACTTGCCCACTTTGTTGTGTTGCCTTCACCCACCAGATCTTCTCAAGGTCCAATATGTTGTGTCTATCTTGCCGATGTACTCATGGATCTTTTGTTTCATCCTAGTCAGTGTTGTGACACTCAATAGACCTTGGTCACCTTCCCTTCTTAGGACAATGTCTCAGGTGGCTGAGTTGCAGCTTTTCCAGTGGCCTCTTCATGGTTCCTATTTGCCTGTTGAAGTCCCTGGTACTTGTGGCTATCCTCAGTGTCTACAATGTTCTGGTAGTGCAATTCCCTTGGTTCTGAGTAGTTTCCCTCTCTTTATTACCATCTGACAACAGTTCTTCCGTCTGAATGACATTCCAATGTCATTGTTGTACATCCAAGAGAATTGATGTCACTCCTGGCATACATGTAACACCTGTCTCATGTAGCTGTGAGTGGGGCCTGGGTCTCAAAGGTGTAATTTGCTTTTGATATTCTCATGTTCATGCTTATAACCCAAAAATGAGTCAACAAGCTACAAGACAAGCATATAATTTGAAATGCACTTCACTTTAGTGAGTGATTCCCAGTAAAAAGAAAAAAACGAAATTAAGTAAAAACATTTGAGTTTAGTGGTAAATTAATATGTAGAACTGATAAAGTGGTGTTCACTACATTTCATTTACTATGATCAGGGGTGCACATAAGTGGTCCGCAGGTGCGCATCGCTGTCAAAATAAAGAGACATAGAGTTGCACGTCCATATAAAGGCACTGTTTTTGTCCGCTAGAGTGGGATTTTCACGGCATATTCTGCACCACACTCTCTGTGCGTTCATCATTTGTTTGAAGCCAGCTCACCTCCTGCAACCACTTTTCCGAGAATACGCGCTTCTTTTGCGGTTCAGACTCCTTCTGACATTTCTTTGGAAGGTGGAGGAACACCAAAGTAATTGCTTAAAGGAGCTTGCTTCTTCGACATCTTTAAGAGTTCTAAACAAATGTCTGTCCTCCTCCAGAAAATCTTATGTACGCAAATGCGCGGGTAGCCCACGCGACACTCAGTCCCAGACGTTCTTAAAAATAAAACCCTTGTTGCAGGCCTAAATCATGGCTGGGGTGCACTGTGGCCGCTTCACTTGTAAACAACCAATAAAATAAAAGGCACATGCCAACATCGTAGCTGACACACTTCGACATGTGCAAAAATTCGGGGGGGGGGGGGTGGTAGAGGTATATACATATATATTATATATATATATATATATAATATATATATATATTTATCTCTATATCTCTAAAATATAAACGCAACTAGATATTTGTTACACATACAGCGCATATTGTTTGTGTTATTGACAGCTGCTTGGCATTTACACCTCTAATTGTCATGGTGCGTTGTGCGGCAGGCGGGAGAAGGACCCAAGATGCAACTCACAGACACGGGGATAACTGAAAACGCAGCTTTAATGCTGGCAGGACGGAACACAGGATATGCAAAACTTAAACTGGAAAAACGTAAACTACCACTTGAAGGCAGACACGGGGAGATCCACACAACATGAGGGAGAACGCGACGCCGAACAGAGGGAGACACAGACAGAAATACACCGAGGGTTAACGAGGACAGTGGGAACACACGGGGAACACAGGTGACACTGATAATCATAACGAGGCAGGGCGGGGTGAACTGAACATGACATGTACAGGCGTGAGAGTCACAAAGTAAACAGGAAGTGCACAGAGGTTCAGACAGGAGGAGAGAGAGCACGGGGAAAACAGACATAACGGGCTGGGGAAACATGGAATAAAACATAAGGAGAGGCGAGGGCTCACAGATACACAGAGGGGCACACGGGGGTGAGAGTCACAAAAGGAAAGCACACAGGGAACAACATAACAGGGCAACCCAGGAAACAGAACCTAAACAGGGGATTGAATACAAAAATACAAAAGAACTAAGAACACTGGGCCAACACGGCCCAGGACCATGACATCACCCCCCCCACAAGGGCTGGCTCCAGACAGCCCAAACACAGGAAAACGAAAACCCAACAGAAAACGACCCAGGGCGGGCGGCGGGGGCCCAGGACGGAGGGCCAGACCAAAAAAAAAACAGAAAGCACAGGAGCACTAGACCATGGGATAAACAAAGTTCAGGGGGCCGGCCCAGAGCCCACCGGCACACAAGTTCATGGGCCACACGGTCGGGGGGCCGACCAGGCGGGCGGCACAGGCGGCAGAGCCGGTCCGGAGGCCGGCCGCGCGGGAGGCAAAGGCGGCGGCGACGAAGGAGACGAGGGAGCAGTTCAGGGGGCCGGCCGCGCGGAAGGCAGCGGCGGCGACGAAGGAGACGAGGGAGCAGTTCAGGGGGCCGGCCGCGCGGAAGGCAGCGGCGGCGACGAAGGAGACGAGGGAGCAGTTCAGGGGGCCGGCCGCGCGGAAGGCAGCGGCGGCGACGAGGGAGACGAGGGAGCAGGTCCGGAGGCCGGCCGCGCGGAAGGCAGCGGCGGCGACGAGGGAGACGAGGGAGCAGGTCCGGAGGCCGGCCGCGCGGAAGGCAGCGGCGGCGACGAGGGAGACGAGGGAGCAGGTCCGGAGGCCGGCCGCGCGGAAGGCAGCGGCGGCGACGAGGGAGACGAGGGAGCAGGTCCGGAGGCCGGCCGCGCGGAAGGCAGCGGCGGCGACGAGGGAGACGAGGGAGCAGGTCCGGAGGCCGGCCGCGCGGAAGGCAGCGGCGGCGACGAGGGAGACGAGGGAGCAGGTCCGGAGGCCGGCCGCGCGGAAGGCAGCGGCGGCTCACCAGTGCCAGGCGTACTGGCCGAGGCCCAGTGGGCACAGGACCAGTCGAGGCGGGGCCAGACGAAGGCTCTGAGGCTGCAGCAGACGAAGCACAGGCTGGAGCTGCAGCAGACGAAGACTCTGAGGCTGGGCCAGACGAAGATGAGGCCGAAGCCGGAGCCGGACCAGGCGGAGCAGAAGCAAAGGCCGACGCTGGACCGGGCGCCGTCGAAGGCGACTCTGAGGCCGGGCCAGGCGAGGACGAAGGCGACTCGGAGGCCGGGCCAGGCGAGGACGAAGGCGACTCGGAGGCCGGGCCAGGCGAGGACGAAGGCCCCGACGAGGCTGCAGCAGACGAAGGCCCCGACGTGGCTGCAGCAGGCGGAGGCTCAGAGGCTGCAGCAGGCGGAGGCTCAGAGGCTGCAGCAGGCGGAGGCTCAGAGGCTGCAGCAGGCGGAGGCTCAGAGGCTGCAGCAGGCGGAGGCTCAGAGGCTGCAGCAGGCGGAGGCTCAGAGGCTGCAGCAGGCGAAGGCTCAGAGGCGGCAGCAGGCGAAGGCTCTGAGGCGGCAGCAGGCGAAGGCTCTGAGGCGGCAGCAGGCGAAGGCTGGACGGGCGGCTCGGGCCCCCCAGCAGACGTGGCTTGAGGCTGGACGGGCTCCTCGGGCCCTCCAGCTGGGAGAGACAGCCGACGCAGAAGGCAGTCGGAGGCGGAGAGAAAACTCACGCCGTTCCTAGCAGGCTGAGAAACGGTCTGTGCAGCCGACGTGGAAGGAAGCTGAACGGGCCCCTCGGGCCCTCCAGCCGACGTGGATGGGGACCGAAGCAGAAGGCAGCCTGAGGCGGAGAGAAGACTCACGCCGTTCCCAGCAGGCTGAGACGCGGCCTGTACAGCCGACGTGCGGTCCCCTCTCGCTGTCTCACGGGCCTGGGCTTCAGGAGCTTCTGGGACCTGAGCTGTGACGGGTGGCTCTGGGACCTGAGCTGTGACGGGTGGCTCGGGGACCTGAGCTGTGACGGGTGGCTCGGGGACCTGAGCTGTGACGGGTGGCTCGGGGACCTGAGCTGTGACGGGTGGCTCGGGGACCTGAGCTGTGACGGGTGGCTCGGGGACCTGAGCTGTGACGGGTGGCTCGGGGACCTGAGCTGTGACGGGTGGCTCGGGGACCTGAGCTGTGACGGGTGGCTCGGGGACCTGAGCTGTGACGGGTGGCTCGGGGACCTGAGCTGTGTGGAGACTGAGCTGTGACGGGTGGCTCTGGGAACAGAGCTGTAACGGGGGACACTGGAGACTGAGCTGAACGTGGTTGTGGGGTAGGTGACACTGGTGTACCGGGGTGAAGGCAGCGAGGACACAGTCTCTTTCTTAAGGGAGGGTCGAATGATTTAGCAACAAATGTTGAGGGGAAAAGATGCCGATGCAGTGAATACCAGGTAGCGGAGTCTTCCAGGAGGGGAGCCGACTGAACTGAGGGTGGCTGCGAGGGAGCTAACTGAACAGAGGGTGGCTGCGAGGGAGCTAACTGAACAGAGGGTGGCTGCGAGGGAGCTAACTGAACAGACCTGGGAGGTGAAATACAAACAGGAAAAGGAGCAGGCTCAGGAACAACAGTCCGAGAAACGGCTGGCTCAGGGTCGACAAAAACGGCTCTGTCGAAAATGAACCCGCCGTCCACTTCATGTCCCGTAGTGTTAGTATTGTCCAGTTTATGGCGGCGGGCGCGCCGCCTCCTACGAGCAGAGGAAGCCGGCGCGATGGGAGCTGATGGCACCGATGTAGAGGGTGACGTAGCGGCGCTCTCCCAGTCTCCTTCCCACATCCTTGCCAGAAACGAGGCAGGCGAAGTGACGTCTGAGCGGATCGGAGACGGCGAGCGGCTGGTAGGCTGTGCAGCAGGTGAGAGGTCCTCCTCCGTGATGAGCCAGGGCTTCCACCGGAGCTCGTCCTCCCGATAAGCCTGTAACACCTGCCGCCGCTCTTCCTCGCCAAAGTCGCTGGCCTCTGGCATCCCTGTGCGCCGCGTAGCGTAGACAGGCGGTAAGCTGCTCGTGTTGTCATCCGCCACGCAGAACACAGCCCCTGAGCGAACGGTCTCACCGTTAGGGAGAGATGCAGAGTCCTCACTCACCCCCGCAGGTAACGTAGGAGTCCGAATGTCCAGCTGTGGGGTGGTGCGTCGGCGGCGTGAACGCCGTTTTCTCCGGGATGGTGGAGGAGACGAGCCGGGCCGCGAATCCGTCAGCGGGCCGGGCTGGACCTCCTCCGGCTCCTCGCACTGGAGAGGCAGCTCTGGGCGGACGCCTACGGTGGAAACCAGGAAGTCCCGGATGTGGGGGTGCAGCGAGCCGAACAGCCACGGGAGTCCGGACACCATCCGCTGTAGACGGGCGGCTACGACCTCCCGGTGTCCGTCTCCTGGTAGCGCCTCCCACTCCTGACAGTGGTACTCCACCGTATAAACCAAATCCTCCCGGAGCTCAGCGGAGGGGTTGTGGGTTGCTGGGTCCATGTCAAGGTCGCGTTCTTCTGTCATGGTGCGTTGTGCGGCAGGCGGGAGAAGGACCCAAGATGCAACTCACAGACACGGGGATAACTGAAAACGCAGCTTTAATGCTGGCAGGACGGAACACAGGATATGCAAAACTTAAACTGGAAAAACGTAAACTACCACTTGAAGGCAGACACGGGGAGATCCACACAACATGAGGGAGAACGCGACGCCGAACAGAGGGAGACACAGACAGAAATACACCGAGGGTTAACGAGGACAGTGGGAACACACGGGGAACACAGGTGACACTGATAATCATAACGAGGCAGGGCGGGGTGAACTGAACATGACATGTACAGGCGTGAGAGTCACAAAGTAAACAGGAAGTGCACAGAGGTTCAGACAGGAGGAGAGAGAGCACGGGGAAAACAGACATAACGGGCTGGGGAAACATGGAATAAAACATAAGGAGAGGCGAGGGCTCACAGATACACAGAGGGGCACACGGGGGTGAGAGTCACAAAAGGAAAGCACACAGGGAACAACATAACAGGGCAACCCAGGAAACAGAACCTAAACAGGGGATTGAATACAAAAATACAAAAGAACTAAGAACACTGGGCCAACACGGCCCAGGACCATGACATCACCCCCCCCACAACCCCAATGTTACAACGACTTCCTCCCAGCTTGAGTAGTACTTCATGAACTCTTCACATTTTTGTACCAGAGATAAAACATGCTAAATTCCCCAGCAGGTATAAACATGCATCCCCAGGCAGGGCGAAAACACTAAAAAGACCACAGTCACATTGTCAAAGGACACTAGATAACCATTGTGCTAACTTGCCATCAGCACTTTCGAAACATCCCACCCACACATATGTGCACACAAGCAAACGCAGATTCATGCGCATCCAGAAGCAACAAACATAAACGCAATGTTCCTTCCAGCTGATGGACTGGTGTTGACAGCCTGGGCTCCTGATGACTCACAACCAGATAAGTGATTGTCCAGCTGTTTTTGAGTCACCTGAGTGCACTGATCTCTATCTTCCACAGTAATTGCAGTCACAGGTGGAGGCAGCAACCTGAACCCACTGCCATTTCTGTTTGCATTTCACTGGGTAAATATAGCCTTTGGTATATATGGGCCTCTTCCTGTCACCCATGGACTCTGGAAAGCTGAATAATGCTATCCGCCAATGCAAAACCCACCCATTCATAGAGTCACTATTATTATGACAGATTGTTAATGTCATCAACTGATAGCTCTTCTAACAGCAGCTTAATGAGATGCATAACAAATGAAATTCATGGTTACATTAGTAACCCGAACAAACGTTTAATGGAAAAGCTCTTGAGAGAAGTCGGACCATTTAATTAGTCATAATAGGTGGTCGTGTTTTTGGAATGTTGGTCCCTACACATCCAAAAACGTTTAATGGAAAAAGCTCTTGAGAGATTCGGATATCTCTTCTACGCACACTGACGGGAGACTATCAAAGTATGGAGGAGAGGCAACCGAGAGGGAGCGAGGGAGAGAGAGAACAAAAATGATGGACTAGGGAAATATGAAGGAATAAAACACAAGGAGGGGAAACAAGACACAAGGACTCACACTGTATAAACACAGACACTCAGGTGAGACAGAGAACAAAGACACAAGGGGAGATCTAATAAACCATACTGAACAGAATAAGCTAGGAACCATAGAATACAAGTGAACTCAAAAATAATACAGAATGACCAAAAATGCACAACGCCACCTCCCCCCCACCAAAAAAAAAAAAAAAAACCAAACAAAAAAAACTGGGTCAAAAGGACCAAGAAACATGACACTTAGGGGATCCCAGGACTGAGAAGTGATTGTCAATGATTATCAGTCATGTTCCAGTCTGGAATCTGGCTGTACCACTCAAGGACATTTACAGAGTGGTCAAGAAGTCACTTTTTTGTCATCTTGGTTGCATGCTTAGGGTTGTTGTACTGCTAGAAGAACCTTCACTCCAGTGAGTGCTCTCATTAAGGCTAAAACTGTCAGTGAAGATACTACCCATCCCTATTCCTTTTGCAGAATCCCTGTCATCACAGCATTTATGCATAAAGTGCTCTATGGGCTGATTTTCATTAACTCCTCAGTCAGCTTTGTGGTATAATGATTTCTTTTAAGAATGCTATTAGTTAATATATAAAAGAATGAATGAATAAACAAATAAATAGAATGCTCCTAGTGGAAACAATACATTAAATCTTTACTTCAATTTTTTCCCCAGGTCACTATCTTTGGGTTTGGAGCAGACAGCGGGGGAAGCTGGAGCCATTACTTTGAAATCCTCAAAAACAAAAAATTTAAAACAGGAGCCCATCCAGGAGCAGACGAATATAAAATGATAGAGAAATTACACAAAAAGAAGACAATTGTTTTTTTTAAAGGATGGTAATTTCTTTTTCATGTTTTCATTTCTGTCTTTATCAGTTGCAAATCATCTAACCATAGATCTGTGTTATAAAAATGAATAAGTGATGGTAATTGCCCCCCCCCCTTCAAAATAAACACTACTATATACTAACTTTATCTATATTTGACTTTATCACTAGTAAC